AGCAACTATAGTTTACCATCTAGAGAATGCTCCGGATGAAAGGAAGCAAATAGCTTGTCGACTCAAAGAATCTTTTTATGTGAACAGCTGTATTACAGAAGTTTTTATTATGACTTTAATAAAATTATTTGATCGAAGAGGTAGAGTAAATATAATCTACACTGACAACAATACCAACTTCATTGGTTCAAGCAATGCTCTTAAAAATTTAGATTGGAAGAAGATCATGTCGTTTTGCACTATCAAGAAAATCAAATGGAATTTTAACCCTCCAATTGCCGCCTGGTGAGGAGGATGGTGGGAGCGCATGGTTAGAATGTTGAAAGAGATGCTAAGAAGAATTTTGGGCAGGAAAAGTCTTGACTACGAAGAGTTGGAAACTATGTGACTGCAAAGCTACAATAAACTCTAGACCACTTACATATATTGAAGACAATTCGGAAGGTCTGAAGCCCTTAACTCCCGCTTGTTTCTTACAAAGTATTCCTAGCAGTGAAACAACCGATTTAGACGACAATCGATAGTAAAAGCCTAAAATATAAGATTGCGTTTTGTACAAAAATTCAAAGGCAGGAATTTAAGAATGAAGATTTAGGAATGAGTATTTAGCAATGTTGATTCATAAAGATAAGAGCCGAAAAGAATCTTTAAGAGTTGGGGAGATCGTTCTCCTAGACAACTGACGGCAAGCGTATCAACAGGCCTTTAGGAATCGTCATTGAAGTCTTTTCTTGGGGAAATGGGCACTCAAGAGTTGCCAGAGTGAGAACAGCTGATGGAGAGAAGTTGAGACCATTTCAAAGACTTTATCCGTTAGAAATCAACAGTTGTTCAGAAAAGTTACCATTCATTGCCCAAGATGCTCGAAGGGATGAAAGTGACTCTATGAATATGCCTCTGTGCCCTGCAGCTAATGATTTAGATTCCAGTGAAGATGATGATACATCACCCAAAGTCCCAGATTTTGTTACTTGTCGTCGACGTGTTAAAATTCCTAATAGACTTGATTTATAACTTTTGTTGCAATTTATAGGTATCCTACATATTGCAAGGTGGGAGGTTGTTTGAGTAATACCATATACAACTCAACTCTGTTTAAGTTTTATGTTTTAAAAAAATAAGCTCTATCGTTTTTGTAAGAATAACTGCTTTTAAATTTTGTAAATATCTGCAATTAAAGTGTTTTTTTCATATTAAATCCATAGTTATTTTCGAATCCTTTAAAACTTCTTTTGCAAAAGTTTCAAAATATTTTAAATATAATGCAATGGAAATAAATATTCAGAAATTTTAAATATTAATAAAAACTGCAATGCAGAAGCTCACCTGCTTTAAGAAATTTCAACAAAATATTTTGAAGATTATTTTGAGAAAACTACACCTTCCACTTCTTTTCTGGTTCAAAAGAGAAAATAAAAAACACATTTATAAGCTTAAAAGTATGAAAAAAGCACTAATCGCATGTGACTCACAGAAACTGAGTATTTCCAATGCACAACAGGCTTATCCAATTAGCCACTGAAGAGTTCTTGTGGATCCAGCACTGCAGCCAGTGAGAAGAGAGGAACAAACGAAGTACAAACAGAATAACTCTTATATGAATAGAATTATGCCATTTGATACATGAATAGTATATGACTAGAGGTGCATGAACAGAATTATGCCATTTGATGACTTTTACTCACCATCATATAAAATCAATAAAACATCTCAGAGTATATAACTCATGATTTGGCACTGTGTCATAGTTAAATTCACAACTCAAAACTTAGAAAAATACGAGTAGAGAAATTTTTCTTGCAGAGGAAAAAAAAAAAAAAAGAGAGAGAGAGAGAATTTAGTTTGTGAAGGAAATTGAAAGCACCACTGATTAAACCAATTACTAATGCATCTAATTCATACGACTTGAATATTTATCAAGCCATGTTATGAACTATTATTATGTGAAAGAAAATTGTTTAACATTACCTGCTCATGTATTTATAGAAAGAACACATTCAAGTAAACAAGGGAGATCAGATATAAAGGAGGGGGGGAAAACCCATCGGACAACGGATCATTATTATTATTATTACAATAATAAAACATTTACTGATCAGTATTTAATGACTTTCCCTTAACTACCACTACTGGACTGATAAGATATTAAAATGCAGAAAAATAGCAACAAATTTAATTTTCTAAACTCTTCAGTTATTTTCATAGTTTTCTTAGAGCATTTTGTTTAGTAATGAGCAATACTTCTTCCAAAGTTTATTTTATTCGAAATTTAAATACTAAGAATAGGAAACAGCTAATATTACTTGGGATATGAGGAACAGAATAAATTGTATAATGCTCCAAGAACTCAAAGTATCTAAACCTGGTTAGAATAAAATTCCAATCAATGAGTGAATACATATTTTTATTTGCTTCATCATACCTTCTGGAGATTCCAGTTTTAACACCAGAAAGGTTGGATCATTTGAAACACATTCTAGAAAGATAACAACAATATTACCTCTTAAGCTTTTCTGATCGCTTTGAAAATTATCATCGAAAATATCAATTGTTGTAAACATATTCTTAACATAAAGCTGCTGTTTTCTATAATGTTACATAAAAGAATTAAAATAACTTTATTAGATTTATACTAATTGATTGCTTACATCTTCTACATTTAGAAAATTACCTAAACAGTATGCTATTTGCCTCCTAATGACAATGGCACTCTTTAGCTTTCTGTTAATAAAATACATTCTTGAAATAGTACAGCAACAAATCTAAAATTAATTTTCTTCCCCTCGTGACAAAACTTCCTGATGAGAACATAGTCTAGATCAAGTCCACGAGTTTATCATGCCAAAACAGAAGGAGTTGAGCCTGTCATTCGAGAAGGGGTCCACAACATTTGTAACGATACGTGTTTGTTTAGTTCAGTTTTTTTCCGTGAACTGCTCCTCTGAAAATCAAACCCTTCTTGGATGTGAAGATTAACATTTAAAAATGCATTAATTTAATCACTGATTTCTTAACTTTTATGTTAAAAGAAACATTGCTTAATTAATCCTATTTTAAGATACGTTATTTACACCATTTAACTACATGTCAACATCTTCAAAATATCAAGCTTATATGATGCTGTCTTACATGCTAATCCCTCTTAGTACAACTGCTTCAAAAAAGCAGTCCGTCTTATATGGGAGGCTGTCTTACAGTTAGAAGACTACAATAATTTTTAACTCAGCCAATTCAGGTAAAAGAGTATGCACTTCCTATTCTCAACCATCCCATATATACCCCTCCTTTTTAAAAATATGATTACAATTACAGTGTACCACCCAACTGGTACTTAATGTTAGAATAGTAGATAAATTAATAAAAGCGGTTTTAACTGAATCTTTCAAAACTTTGGGATATCATTTTACAGAAGTCTTTAAACTACACAGAACTGTATAAAAATTTTACCTATGGAACCTCCAGAATGTATAGTTATACCTTCATCAGTGGTTCGAAGTTTGGCGAATGGCCGACTCTATCGATCTCACACTTTGTAAAACCTCATAATTTGGCTTACAGCTTGTGACAGTAAAAACTAAATCATTAAAAAAAATTCACCCAATGCAAAATGATCGTCTGATGATGCTGGCATGGTATAGCCATCTTGGAGGCCCAATATGAATTAATAATTATACATTAAATCAAGTGAAAAAAGAAACATGATAAAGCAAAACATAAAATTACACAAAGCAACAACTTTCTGTTTGGCATATATTTAAATACCTGTCAAACAGAAGATTGCTGCTTTGACCAATTTTATGTTATAAGTTACAAACTACAGTCAAAAGTGGTTAATCTGGACTCGTCGGGGCTTCGGCGATTCTGGATTATCGATTTTTCCGGATTATAGATTATCAGTTTAAATCTCGTAAGATGGCATGCAGAAATTCTAAAATTAAAAATATGAAACCGTAATTTATGAAATAAAGAATAATTATGATCTAAAGGGTATCAAATTTACAAAAAAAAAAGCTTATATTTATTTGTTTACTTTATTAAACATTTCTTTCAATGTAAGTTGTTTAAGTTGCTTCATTTCATGTGATAATACTTTCTCTTTAATTCTATTAAACAGACATAATTTCTTGTTCATTTACAAAGTTCCGCTGTTCAAGTCCTATAATTGCTGTGTCGAGAACACCCGACTAATTTGTCAATCGAAATTTTTTTTTCAATAACCTCTGTCACTTTTCTTCGCTATCGAAGCGAATTATAATGACGAGGAACTTGTTTTAAATCATATCAAGACGGAGCATATCGAGATGAAATACTACATTTGGTAAGGAATTATAAGCCAAATAAAATAAAAACATCTGCCCTGAAGATAAGGATAGTGCTGACAGATCAACTTCCAATTCATTACGCGCCTGCCATGGCGTTCCCCCCAGTGAGCAGCGTGAAATTGATAAACAGATTTCGGATTTCAAAACGTACTTTCGCTTTAGATCCTTTACATATTAACAAATATATATCGGAAATTCTATTTGATATAATCGAAAGTTTAAGCTTACTTTTATATTGAATTTTAAAATTGCTCTTAGAGTCTGCAAAAAATAATAAGCCGGATCCAATTCAAAAATTAAGGCACAACGCAATCATCAACATTAACTGAAATATATAATTAGATAATTTTAGCTTATACATCCATTATACATAAAACGCGCACGCAAAAACGTATTCTGCACTTGCGCACACTCATATGCGCAGTCGTAAAAGGTCTCGCGCGCACGCGTAAACGCCTATGCGCATGTGTCAACGCAGCGCATGCGCAGAAAGTTTTTAGTTTGGAGGTTCGGATTATAGAGCATTCCGAATTATGGGTGTCCGAATTAACGACTTTTGACTGCACTGCTTTATGAATTTCTTTTAGGTAATCCTGTACAGTAAGGACCATTGTGCATAATGCTTGAAATGACTTACATTAGCTACAAGAAAAGAAAAGAAATTTTTTTTTAACCTACCTTGGGTATGAATAACCAGGTCAAACTGCAAAGGTTCCCCTTCTTTGTTCTGTATATATATATAATTCCAATGACTAACAGCAGGGATAACTTTTAATATACATGGACTTGTATCATTGCAAGCAATAAATGAATCAGATTCTGCAGTAAATGTAGGCATTCCTAATCTACGAAACATCATCATAACAGAGCATCTGCCACTAGAAAGACAATTCTTTAATTCAATGCTGGTTATCCAACTATTCTTTAGGGCAAAAAACCTAAAAACAAAAAAGAAAAAAGTTTGGCAACAGCACCATCAAGTTTGTAAACAACATAAATGGGACACTCACCATTCAATTGTCCCATGCAGAGTTATATTGTACTGACAAGAGTGTGTAAAGAGTTTATAAGGGTATGAAGGAATGCCATTGCATAGGGGCCCTTGAATGTTCTGCTGAACTACATTTACATGTTTAAACTTAAAAGAAGACGGATATATATATAATAAAATTTTTAAGGACCATGCCTTATATATATATATATATATATATATATATATATAGATGACAGGTAGGTTGTCCTTAAAAGGAGGAAAAAAAAAAAAAAAAAAAAAAAAAAAACAGATGAATTTAGCATTGCATACACCCAAACTTCAACTATGGATGTAAAGTGAGAACAAGTTCTGAATTTCTTGAGGCAAGCATGTGAAAAAATGACAAAAATGAAGGTACAGGAAGTCAGGACCCCTGAAGTTCACTGGAATTCAAAGTTTCAGGAAATGATTTTATATTGTAGCCAAATGTCAAATTTTCTGGTAAATACAAAAAGAGGGAGTTGGCTGAGGTAAAAATTATTACTTCTTCTGAACATTGTAGACTTCACACAAGATTTTATTTGAGACATGGTGATACTGTAGAGACATCAGATATTTTTTTTTTGGAAGTAGGCAAGATGAAAAATTAGCAACGTCTTCGCCGGGAATCGAACCACGGACCTCTCAATAAGGCGCTGAGCGTGCAGATCACCACACCATGAAGGCACGCTAAGAAGGCAGGAGAAATATATTATATACTCCCCTTTTAAAGTGCGACTGGGGTTATTTTAAGGGACCCAATCGCCAATTCCTGAGTGTAGAGCATCATCACTCCAGGCGCCACTGTAGATACAATTGGTATTTTTTGGAAGCAGGCAAGATGAAAAATATGCAACACCTTCAACGGGAATCGAATCACAGACCTCTCAATTACGCGCTGAGCCTGCAGACCACCACACCACGAAGGCAAAGAACATCTATGTAAAGAAGGAAAAGCTCCATAGACGTAATATAAACCAGTTTGCTATTACGCCACTGCAAAGAGGAGGGAAAATTCGCCAAGGGATTTGGCGACGGAACCTGGTGGCGAGAATTCCCCCCTCTGCCAAGTGTACAGGAAACTAAGGAACACGTATTAAGAAGAAACATTCTCTGGCAAAATGTTTCTTCTTTGACGTTTCACAATAATTTAGACTCGGATTTTCGCATTTTTTTTGCTCAAAATAACTAATTCATTAATTAATTTACTTGCACGAAAATATATTTTCTTTTCCTTTAAAGTTTAAAGAAATTTAGAACGATGTTCGTTTTATGGACTCTTGATAAACGTGCCCCTGTGAAATTCGCCGCAAGGCTTCGAATTTTAGCACTTTGGCGACAGATATTTCGCGCATGCGCAGCTGTTTCCCTCTATGCTGGGAAGGAGCCACTCCTGTTGCAGAGAAGTTTTCCTTCTTAACTATACATATTCTTTGACGAAGGCACGCTAAGAAGGGAGAAATACCTTATAATACAATCTATTCATTTACATATATCTCATGATATTGGTTCAAGCCTGAAGAAAATTTCAAAAAAGGATTAAAATTTCTCTACTTCCTTTCTACCAATTCATGTTTCTTACTTTCACACTTTTTCATATTTTTTTTTTTAGCTGTCAAACTTGAATAGTTTATAACATTTCTGATGCAAATTAATTTCAATACTAGGTTTTTATGTATATAATTTAAGGAAAAAATATAAGTTTCTTTGTTTAAATGATTTTTTAAACTGATAATGAAATCTTATTCAGTACGATTCATACGGCATTGATGTAAATAATATTTGAACTTCTTGCATCGCATAGTAAAAAAGGTACATTATAAGGAATGATAGTTATTGCGAATATTGACCTAATACAGCCTCTCATCAATTGTAGGCCAGGTCACTGTAATAGAACGGCCATTATAACAAGCGTCAAATGAGCTAACATTCGTAGCACGTTTTTCTTAGAATCTTAACTATTTAGACATTCACTCTCCAAATCAGATAAAATATAAAGGGGACAGAAAGCAATCTACTATTTTACACAAACAATGAATGTTTTCTTGAAAATTCAAGACACCTAATGAATGCTTTTCGGAATGATAGGAGGATCGGGGCTGTGCTCTTATAATAATAATAATAATAGGCTAATTAACTAATAAAGGCTGCCCTGCCTCGTGAGACTGAACCACATTACAGGTCCACCCCCCTTTGAGGCACATCGTAGAGGTTCAACCTCTACAATTACCTCTCCAGGGAAGCGGCGCACCACCTGGAATTCACCAGGCAGCACTGGTCGTCAATTGCTACCTGCCAGTCACTTGGGTGAACCCGTCGCAGTGGGTCATTACCCAGCAAACACCCCCTCCGGCTACCAGAGCCATACTGCTCAGGACATGCCAGACCTCGGGGCCAGCCAATGAGTGATCTTTCCCAGGGCCTTCAGAACCACCAAGTTCATAAATTTTATACACCGCCTTTGCCGAGAATGCCTAGGTACAGATCCTAGCCAGTAGCTTCGCAAAGTTCTCTACGTCAACCGTCCCCCCCAGGGGGAGTTGGAAATCAAGGGATGAAAGGCTGAGCCGACCTTGCCCAGACCGGGGCTCAAATAAAAATATTACCTAAAAGCTTCTTATAAAACTTTTGTCTAAAATCGTCCACAAATGTTTAGTCTTAAGAAGACGTTTCTGTACGCTTTTGTATTAGATATGTTTTATGTGGATGCCTAATCAGAGTCAAGCTGAGGTTTTGTTGAATAACTTAAGAAATGAGAGAAGCGAAATTAAATTATGACAAATTAATGCTTTGAAGACAGTGGCCGCAATATAAGTCACAGTAACAATGTCTCCCCTTCCCCCTAAAAAAAGGCTCCTACTGAAATATCGGCCAGAAATATTCTACCCTCTTAACCTTTCAGATTTTGAGGATAATTATTATCCGATGACATTAGGCACTACTCACAAATTCCCTTCCGTTTTCCCTCAGCAGTGGAATGTTAGCTTGGAAAAAACAAGCTTCAGCGTATGTTGCATAATTTTCTTGCTGTCTAGAATTCTGCATTAATACTGCCATCTGAAAAATGCAAAATGCGATGAAATAAAATAAAGTTACATTTTTTTTAAACTAAAGGATAATATGAAAAAGAATACACACTTAAAAAAAGAAACCTACTATCACAAAAAATGCACGAAAGAAAATTAAACAGTGTTATACAGTTTGAATGACAAAATATTTACTACAATACAAAAGGATGTAGAGACATTAGGTATTTTTGGAAGCAGAAAAGATGAAAAATGAGCAACGTGTTTGCCAGTAATTGAACCACGGATCTCTGGAATATGCGCCCAGCATGCAGACCACTACATCACGAAGGCACGCTAAGAAGGCGGGAGAAATGCCTCATATACCCTCCTTTTATACGGCGACTGGGTTTTAGGGGACCCAATTGCCAAATCCTGGGTGTGCAGAATCATCATCCACCACCCTTTTAGTTCGGCCCCACTGTAGAAACATTAGGTTTTCTTGGAAGCAAGAGTCATGACTGACGAGAAACTGTACGGGAACTTTCCATCGACTACCACTAAAGTGAACTCGACGATGACCTGAAAAATAGAAGTTTCACCCACTGTGTTCAAAGTTGTCCACAGACCAAGAGACGTACGAAGGATCCCATGCCGTTGCACCAGGTGCAACTCAGGCCGACCTAAGACATCTATAAAATTTATGAAATTGACAACCTTGGAGTGTTCATTGTATCCATAGAAAAGTACGTCAACAAGAATTTTGTGCTCAATGCACAATTGCCAGCAGTGGCATCGCTCATCAGCTAATTGTTTCCTTGCACCCTGCTGTGTAAAGTGTACTGGCGATCATAGCACAGCTAACTCTCCCAACAAAGGAAGGGTCGAAAATTCGTGTTGTGCGAACTGCAGTAAAATTATCCCGCCAAAAAAATTTCGAATGCAAGAAGCTCAGCCATAAAACAGTCATTATCAGCTCCTGCAGTTAATCTGTTTAGGCCAAATTCAGTTGCAGTAATAATACTAGTATTAAAATATACTCCCAGGTCCTCAGTGGCAGTAGTGAAAATCAATTAGACAATAAACCCAAAACTTTAAAATTCTAGATTTATGTATTTTATGCAAAGCTTTAGAGTTAGAAAATTTTTTTTGGAAAAATTTATTTGCCAGGCTAATTCAGCTCATAAATAACACAGGCTAATTCAGCTCATATATATAACAATCTTAAACAACTGCATAAAGCAGTAACTATGATGGAAAAATTTATATTTTTTCCTAATTCGTGAGGAAGTTAACTGCCTTATTAATAACTGTCAGAATAAATAATTGTAAGTTAACTATTGTTACATGAAACGCAAATGGTCTCTTCCATAAGCTACATGAATTTCAGTAGTTTATGAAAGAGTATAGACATGGTATCGTATTCCTACAAGAACACATGCTTGGTCCCCAGCAGAAATTTAGTACTGCAAATTATTATTCGTAGCATCAACAGCGACTGTCATTCATCAAAGGGCAGCAGGAGGATTAATTATTCTGGTCAAACTCTCCATCTCAGTACCACGTACAAATTCTACAACTTTCAGCCACTGAAGCTATAGCTATCACGACCACTTCACAGCCAATCACTTTCGTCTCCACCTTTATCCCCCCACCACCGACACACATCGATTATTAAAAAAGATTTTAAAATTGATTTAATTTGAAATTGAATGATTTAAAAATAAAATTTAAATGTTTTACTTCAACTTAGCAATTGCATTATCTTAGGAGGCGATATGAATGCATGACACCACGCTTGGAACAGCAATTCTACCAGCCTTATCAGCAGAAGAGTTTACAACTTTTTAATAGAAATTGATGTTAGCTGCTATAACACACCACACATATGCTGCTATTCAGCTTTTACAAATTTTGTGAT